TATATTATTATTATCTTTTATTAAAGGTTCTTTTACCATCAAACTTAGTTTGATCATAGTTATGTTTGATCCTGCACCTCAAACCTCCTTTAACTTCATTCATGTCAATTGCATGATAGCTATATAGCAAACCTTTATTGAATATTGATCGATTCTCGGAAATTTCTATAGTCATGCCATAAGATGTGTATCAAAATTATTGTGGTCGATTGAGAATTTTGATATTTTCTTTTAACACTATAAACAGATTTTCATATTGTATACGTAAATTGGCAAAGTATTACGGCTGTTTTCCATTGGCACTGTTGCGTTCTTTTGCACCTACGTACACGCTGGTAAAAGCCTAAAACTTTCAAAGTTGACACACCAGATCATCATCAGAATTCAACCCTATGCGTCATTTGAATTCTATCGTTAATTTCATATGTATACTTTAAGTTATGCAAAAAACGCGGCAGTGAAAAACAGCCCTTACACGCCTATAAAAACGCTCAGGTTGATGCAAGTTGATATGAACAGGATGGAGCAATGTTGTGCTGCCCACATTGTTCAGAGTTGTTATCAACATTGAACAATATTGTTGAAACTGAATCGGGCGTGACAATATTGTTCAATATTGATAACAACTCTGAACAATGTGGGCAGCACAACATTGCTCCATCCTGTTTATTATCAACTTACATCAACCTGAGCGTTTTCACGCGTGTAGTATGCCTATGACGTCAAAGAGTCTAGAAAGGAAATTATGCGGCTATTATAAGCCTAAAGGTATGTAAGTACATATATATATAGTTGCTTGCTAAATTCTTCCGTTTAACTGATATCGTGTTGAAACGAATTGCATAAACATACATGCAGTTTGGAATCAGTTTTGTGACTGGTAAGTACTTTATCTTAGCATTTATATAACGAGAACTTACTTCATTACCGTTCTTACCGTTCGTGCACCGTATATTAATCTACGACGCTGGCGTGAAGCAATATACTGTCTGGCTTTCAAGCATCTCACAACAGGAATAAAAATTATAGACTCCATTAAACAAAGTCAGAGCCGTTTGTAGCTAAAACAATTAAACAAATATAAAAATGCGACAGGTTATCAAAATCAATGTGACGCAATTGTTTTTAATATATTGCACTTCGACAAAAGGTTTATTACTAAATTCTTGCATCAAAAATTTGTTTAGATAAACACACACTTGCAAGTTCTTTTGGATTAATAGTAGTTACTAGAATTACAAATTGTCTATGAAATGCTGCCAATGAATATACGTAGTGCCTTTATAATAATTCCCCCCAGTACTAGTCATCTTTTGGGTATAGTCTTCAGGATAGTAATGGCAATATTGCGTATAAAAAAACTTGATCTTGTTTATATTATTATGTTAAACATACACGGCAATATTACGTCGTGTGTTTTTTCGTGAGAATCATTTTCCAGAGCAGGCATTAAAATAAGGATTTTTCACAAGGACACATTTCAGAGGAAATTATCGCTTGGAAAATAAATATGTGCATGAGACGCAGGTTTGAGTACTGTCGTTATACATGCATGCCTGGTCAGTTTTATTTAAGAGCAAAGCTTGATTCTCAATCAGGAGGGACGCGCGACCAAAAATTTATACGTTTCCAGGGATCGACTTGTGCTTGTCCAGTATGTGATTAAACATTTTTTTAAACTTTCAGCTTAAATAATTTGCGATGGGGAACAGTTGTTTGCCTCAATCTAGGTTTCGTTGTTGGATAGCAGGATACACAGCCTCTGAGCAGGTTGGCCCCCCTAAAGATATTAAGAACTTCAATGACAAAGATATACGCGAGGCATATAAGGAGGCGAACAAATTCGTTGATGATCACCCGGAAAACGGCTTTTGTACTCTTGGTCCTGACGGTTACTTGAAGTGCTGGGAGTTGGGGAAAGGCCGCAAAGCGAAGTTCAAAGCGATATCTGAAAACGTTTTATTGTGCTTTTACAACGAAATACTCAGCTTAGACGGTAAAACGAAAGATGAAATTAAGAAGAGGGGCCAGGGCAATTTGGCTTATTTTTACTACTAAATAATATCATACATCTTAAATTTTTCATTATATCCGCAAGGTGTATATAAAGGTTTTTTAGTTTATTTAGAAGTTAACATATTGCTATATAATTTCAATGCCTGATAAATACGGGCTGAGCACACGGGGGCGCAAACGTACACATTCGAATCAAATCTCATGTAGTATAGCAAATTATTTTAATATGTTTACCTTCATTGAACATTCAAAAAAATGAAATAATACTGCTCATTAATTAGCCTTTCTCACGATGAGGAACATGCCGCCATTTTTGGGGTACTTTTTTTCAAAACCGTGAGACCTCGTAAGGGCGACTGTCTTTAATTTTAGGCTAAATTTATTCTTCAAATGGTCTGTTAATTCTAAACAATTGCTTTTCATGTTAAATCATAATTTTTAAACCTATTTCAGAAAATTGAAAGTACCCCCAAAACGTCATCGTGAGAAAGGCTAATTTCACACGCAATAGGCTATTGATAGCCTGCACTTCTCTTGTATATTATCTATATATTTATTTAAAGCACGTTTAGAGGAACTATTTACATACCCCATGAATGAACGAAAAGTAAATGAAAAAAGGTTGAATATGCACATTTAAAAGAGCGCTTATGAGCGACTATAGCAGACTGCAAGCAACTGTTGACATTCAGCTGTGGAAAATATCGTCTCAAAGGCATGGTCTGGGACAGCTGCGCTGCATATACTAACTTGACTGAAAAACTTTAAAATTACTAAATAGGGCAGCTTGATAAATAATTTCATAACCATAAGAGGTACGATCCGACGATGTAATTAAAGACCTCATGCATAATGACGTATCAAGCCGTGCAGAGAATTCTGGTTTTACTAGTCACGGCGGTCAAATTACTTCAAAATTTCCCGCCGTGCCTACTAAGACCAGAATTCCCTGCAGGTATCACGGCTTGTTACGTCACTATGCATAAGGTCTATTGGCGGTCTTTTGGGTGATCCCCTACAGAAATGATTGCGATTTATCGTGTTTTTTTAGAAAACTGAAGATATTTACATAGCAGCGGCAAGGGGGGCGAAGCAAATATGCAATTCATTTTAAAATTGCATTCCGATATCTCAAGTAAAAGTATCGAAATTACTACGATACACGACGATACGAAGTTCATCAAACGATGTTTTGCAAACATTTTGCGCCGCTGCAGTGCCCTTTCACCAAAATCTGCCCTCCCACCCCTCTGTCGTTGCATCGTTCTGGGGTCCATGTGACAAGCTAAAAACAATACTTGGCGGAAGTCTCTAACGTTTCAATTTAAAAATAACCATAGACACGAATTGCGAAGTTACAATACAAACTATTTCATGAAAACTATTACTCTGCTCCTAGCCTGTATTACACGTAAATCATCGACCTGTGTTCTTGAACTATACTGTAGATCTGGGCCTGGGGCCAGTTATTCAAAGGCAAAGCCAGGTTAGCACTAACCCTGGGTTCAGTTTTAATCCAGTGTTTTAGTTTATGAATTATGTGCTTCTGAGCCACTGTTTGCCAGTTTTAAACTTTAGAAATTATGACTTAATTCTAACGGTCCAGAACCGGCTTTTGAACAATCGGCCCCTGGTGATGTAAATGTGCGTAATATTTGGAAGACGAAACTCGCGCCTTGTGTTTTCTAGTGTAGCTAAAAATAATCGCAGCGGTCTATAGTGACAGTAATATAACATCTCTAGTATTTGCACCTACCAATTTTCCTAAGTCGTTCAATTTCAAATTCTCCATGATGTATTTGGTTGGTTTTGGATCGGATATTCAAGGAGGCCATCGTGGACTGGCTCCATATAAATTCGGGTCGTTCATTCTCAATGCTTCCAGCTTTTTCCTCAATCTCGTGTTTGAGTGAAGGAGTACGTCGTCGCTTCCACCAGAAAGAGTGGAGAACGCCTGTTTTGTGAGTCAAATGAGTGTATGAGTTGTGAGTCAATGAGTTATGAGTCTGTATGAACTTTATTTGCATTTGTCTGGTTAGAAGTATTCTTCAATAATAATCCAGTATTAATACAATAGTACTTCAAGGGTTCATATGTTCAAGGTAGGACAATGCAGTCACTGCAGTAAGTCCGTCCGAACTTGTATATCAGTTAATAAATTGAACGTTAGTGAAGACCTGCTTATCCCATGCATCACTTTTTATTTTGATCTCCGAATTTCATAATGCCATAAATGCCCTCCTAAATAACTACTTAATAAGTACCATATAGAACATGAACGCGGCCGTGTTGTATCAGTAGATACAAACCCGAGCCGAAGGCGAGTGTTTTTATCTCTGATACAACACGGACGCGAATGTTGTATAGTACTTATCAAACGAATAGAAATATCTAACCTTGTTTAAGAGTTATTTTGGCGATAATGTAAAATGTAGCCGAGAAATTCGAAGGTAAATTTTAGGCAAATCAGGCGAAATCTTTATCCGCAGTTACAAAACTGTGGTTACGAAAATGCAGCAAAATTTTTTGACTCATAACTCATTGACTCATTTCAACATTAATCTCGAAAGAGTGAAACTTCAGAAAATTGTTGTGTTTGTCACAACGAGGTTTGCCTTCAGCAGAATCCGGTGCATTAGCCATGGCCCATGCTGTTTTAGCCTGTTTCTCAAACGCTATCGACAAAACGTGCTCCATAGCAACTATACTAAAGATAACTAATACGACGCCGAGGAAAGGTTTTTTAAATGCAAACACCCCTCGGCATCTGCTATTTTATTAACTCATGAAAATTTATGTCAATGCTGTTATAGAATTTATAACAATTGCCTTGATACGTTTTCATGCAATAAATCGGTCCATGCATGAAAGCTCAAAATTTGCCGTTTAACTTCAAACTTATAAGACTTATCTTTCTCGTGTTCTTTCAGAATATCTCAGGCGAGATTTGTCAAACAAAAACAAATGAACCCCTTCTATTTTCTTAAATACTTTACTTAAACCTTTTTCTACCTTATGACTATGTTTGGCTTGATTTGGCTTCGCACTGAGTTACCTATCGCAATCTTGTATCGATTCTGTCGTCATATTTAACGGAGGAGACGGGTGTTACGGTATTACTGCCTTCGAACATGTTGCCAGTGGTGGATTTAGCTAGGTAATATAAGTTTCACAGGAAATTTGACGCACACCCCCCAAAAAAATTGTCTTCTTCTAAAAAACATAGTTTGCATGATTACTATTTTAGAGCTAGAAGCCCGTAAAGTTTATAAATTCCACTAATCTACTAAAAGTGATCCGACAAAAAGTGCAATATGCTTGAATACTGAATTCTTGGTTCTTCGTTCAACCAACTTCCAAATTTGCCAAAGTAACGTTAACATCGCGGTGTATCTTGCGAAAAAGCCATGGGGAGAGTTGAATTTGCCCTTGTAAATCGGCCATTTCGAGATTCGAATATCTAATGTGGCGTCAATTTGCTAACTGAGAAGGTACTGGAAGGTACAGAAGCGCGCATTCTATGACTATATCGATTATTTCTGCTTTTATCTCAACATAATTTGAGAAAAAAAAAACAGTGCACGTAATTTCTTGGGTCAAAATTGAAATTGTATGATACTGATGATACTTAGCTAAGTACCTCAAAACAAAACCAAGTCATTTTAATAATAATAACAGTATACACGCGCGATCGCTACGAGAACGAAAACATTTCTGGACTCCTATGGTTACACAATAATGTACACGTAACCTACCAATTACGTGAATCACATTTTCCTGACGAAGGCCATTGAGTCGAAACTTCGAGAAGTGTTTTTTAAAGGCAGTTGTTATGCTACATTTGACGGACTGAAGCCGATCATCACGAGTAAATCGAATTTAACGTGTTTAATGATACTTTTTAAATCTGATGTAATTCATGTAAAATTAAATCTAATGTAATTAATCATGTAAAATCAATTAAAGGATTCGGGTGCAAAAAACTTCAATTTCTGATGGAGTGAATGGGCAGCTGCCCGCCAAGAGAGCTCGGGTTTCTGGGGCTCCAGGTTCATATCCTGGGGGAGGTTGATATGTGCCACCAAGACTACTGTATGAACCCTGGGTTGTGTTGGCGTTAGGGCAGATTACCAGATCATCACCACGACCACCAAAGACTGGTCCAAACTTATATTCACAGTAGATTGCTTTTCCATTTCGACCGTCTTTCATCAGGCACTTGAAGGGGCTCATATTCGCCTTATTTTTTAAGGAAAACAGAAATGACGACTTGGAACGTTTATACTCATACTTTTTAAAATCTAAAAAAACAGATATTTACATTTTAGGAAATCTTAGAAATATCAGAAATATTAGAAATATCAGAAATTCTTTGTAATCGAAATAATATTAATAATAACATTTAAATAATAACATTTTGAGAAAATAGAGAAATAGAGTCTATAAGTAAGAAAGAATTACAAAAATCCAGTCTTGATCCACAAGTTGTGTTTCAATTCAACTTGTCCACACTTGTCTTAAGAATCGGAGATCTATAGTAGTTCCGAAAGGATCTTGCGCACCAGTGATCTCAGACAAAGGGAATGCCACATTCTTACGAAAAGTGTGAACCAGGCTTTAAAGCCAGTTTTCCACTAGGAGGAATTTTTCGATCGAAAGAAATTTTTTCGCTCGATTTTCCTTTCAATTGTGACCGGTGCACGTGAAGGGAATTCGCTACGGTCGAATTTTCACAACTGAAAAGAAAATCGGGCGAAAATTTTCGTTCGATCGAAAAATTCCGCCTAGTGGAAAACTGGTTAAAGCCTCAGTGACCCGATTTTCTTTTTCCGTTAATCCGTTACGGTCGAATTCCCACAATTGAAAAGAATATCAGACGAAAAATTTCGTTCGGTCAAAAACCTAGTGGAAAACTGCCATTAGGTGTATTAATGCATATTCGCCTTCGACACGGGTAGTGTCGCAGCTCCTCGCAAGAATGATTTTCATTGGCTGAACTTTACAATACATTTCTGTTTCAACCAATAGCATAGCTTCGTTAGAAAGCATAGAAAAGCAATATCCAATTAGACGAAAGCTTCCGAGCCCTGCCTAATCCATTGACTCACGTTGAGCATGCACATTGCAGAATCATGGCAAGAATTCATAAGATAGTGCAAATTATACCTGATGTTACTTTCCAACTTTGATCAGTAAAACCACCAAAGACGTTGGTTTCACACTTCACCAAGATCACTGTAGGTCCAACATCGTCACATTTTTCATGAAAATCTTTTCCTTCCCAACCGTCACGTGAAGCTCGATAACAAAGATGCCAACCAAACTTCTTATCTTCCATCCACTTTACAAGTTGCTTCGCTTGTTCAATTTTACCCTCCAAGATGATTGATTTTTCACATACGATTTCAACAGGTTCAACTGAAATCATACAGATAGTTTGACCCAAGGTGGTCCACTTTATTGAAAATTACTACTTATCTTGTTTAAAAAGTTTAAAGAGACACAATCTTAAAGAGACAGAATCTCTCTAATCGATTCAAATTTTTTCTGTAAGAATATAAAAAGAACGCGAGAGTTTAACGAAAAGTTTTGTTAATTAGGTTTATACCCAGAGTAAACAAAAGTGATCGATCGGCTAATTCTATTCTTTCATTGTTCTACGAATTGAACTATAATTTATGAATATATTCAAAATCTTTATTAGGGCCATTTATACCAGCGAAAATAAACCGCGGCCTAAAAAAGTCTCGAACAGTGCGTTTATACGGGATATTGTTAAAATTATATTATATAATTGGTCGCAAACACTCGTATAAACGACTCATATTCGCTATCGCAAGTCCTTGCCGCCGAGACAGTTTTTGCATTGCAAATTGAAAGGAACGGCAGGAAGGTTGATGCTGGACAGTGGTGTGACACCGAAGTTCAATGTAAGATTTGCTCGTGAAGCCATTTATACGAGAACGTCGTGCGACTCAAATTAGGTGCGGCTTATTTTGGACGAGCTCTGAAGCCTCGGCTAATTTGGGTTGTGGCCTGTTTTAGGGGCGAGCAAATGGAGCGTTTCTGCGACTGTTCGCGACTTATTTAGCCTTTTTTATGTCACGGCTTATTTCTACTCGTATAAATGGCTACATTGTTGCTTTTGGATCGTATATATACAACTCATTTTTACTCAGATTACCTTTCTTAGCAGTATAGGAAGGATAACTGCGGGCTGTAAAACGAAACTCTTCTATATCTAAAAATAATCGCAACAGTGCAATCATAATGATATAATATTTGCAATTATAATATTTATTACAACTCTAATTAATATATACACAATACACCTACCAATTTTTCCTAAGTGGTTTAACTTCAAATTCTCCATGATGTCTTTGGTCGGTTTTGGATAATATTCAAGCAGGCCATCGTGGATTGGCTCCATACATTCTGGTCGTTCATTCTTAATGCTCCCAGCTTTTTCCTCAATTTCGTGTTTGAGAGAAAGGAGTACCTCGTCGCTTCCGCTGGAGAGAATATTGCTGGTAAAATCCAACGAGCTTTTTGCCTTTTGGAAATAAGCTTTCACGTTAGCTTGTTGTTTCAACAGGAGCTCGTTGGTTACTCTGTATTTCATCTCAACTTCGTCAAGCAAGGATGTCGTTTCTTTCTCGAGTTTCTTGGTAAACGCATTCAGAATATTCTGTTGTTGCTGCTTGATGGCGTCTCTTGCTTTTGTTGCGTTGTTCTTCAGGGTCACCATTGCCTCTTCAATCTTACGATTACTCTCGGCTGCATCGTTTTTTTGCTTGTCAAATATACCGGAAGATGCGTTTAACGCTTCTTTGTGCTGTACAACAACGTCTGTCAAAGGGAACCACGCATGTTCAGGTCGAGTGTGATTAAGATCCATGCAGTATCGACAAACAAGGACTTTGCATGTTTCACAGTAAAACTTCAGAACTTTGTCGTGTTTCTCACAACGAGGTTTGCCTTTCGCCTTCGCTCGGTTTTCTGGTTTAGATAGTTCTTCCATCGTCAAAAGGACATGATCCTCAAAGTCTGGCCGGTTGTTGTGAGCTTGTAGACATTTCTGACACAGATATTTTTCACACGACACGCATCTGATGGCTGCAGGAGCGTTCGCTTTACACGACTGGCATTTTACATGATCGACTTGTTGCTGTATGCTGAGCAATTCCAACAGGTTGTTAATAAAGTGGTTTGCTGGCATTTTCTCGCCAATATTTTCCCCTTCTTTGACTGAAAACTCCGTGCGGCATAATGGACATTCAAAGATTTCTGGTACTTTCTCTTTAGCTTCAACTGCCTTCTCGCGCTGAGCGGCAACATAATTCTCCAAGCAGTGTTTACAAAATGAATGATAGCATGACAATGTCCGTGGTTGAGTTAATGTCTCCATACAAACAGAACACTGTAACAAAGCTTCCATTTGCGTCACAGGAGCAGGATCTGGTGCAGTAGCCATACTGCCTTAGATTATTGACGAACACTTTCGTTTCCTCACCAGACAAACCGTGTTTATAAATTATCATGAAGTTATTTGCTCATTGCCTCATACGAGTAATAAAATACGACGCCTGTTTAACTAAAGAATGTTTTTGTAATGCAATCACCCCTTAATATTTGCTATTTTATTGGCTAATCGAAAAAATTTCATATCCTGTTCCATTTCAATTCCAAGGATTTAATTCCAGTTCCAAGGAAGTACTTCCTGTCTTCTGAATAAAACCATAGTTATGTTTAGTGAAATATAAAAATTATTAAAAAGAATATTTGTAATATCTTTATTATATGAACTACAATGATTCTCAAAGGGTGGTCAGTTTTCTAACCAATCACTTGAGATACTGCAGGGTGTTGTTGGTGCAGCAGCCAAAATCACAGTATAGGATAGCGCCGCGGCTACACGTAAAGTAACCTACTCTGTTAAATTTACTTAATAACATACACCTAGGTTACCTAAAGGCAGTAGTGCTGCCTATTTAACAATTAGTCGCCGAAGGCGAGGTGATTACAAGCCTATATTCACTGAGCCGAAGGCGAAGTGAATATAGGCTTGTAATCACCGAGCCTGAGGCGACTAATTGTTTTAGTATAATTTCAGTATTGAAAAAGTTTTATTTATAAATACAACTGATACACGTGTTTATTTTATGAATATAATTTTGATTTTGAGTATTTTCAGCCATGTTTTTTTGGGGAAAAGCAATAGTTACTGCTCAGACTGCTCTGAGCAGTAACTATTGCCTCAGAGTTACTGCTGAAGGAGCCAATCAGAATGCTCAAAGGCCATTTTTCAATACTGAAATTATACTAAACTCTTATAGAAATAGCATGCGCAAAATGCTTGCTTGTTAAAAATTCATACCATGGTTACGCAAATTATAGTCAAATGTTATACGACACTTCAAATTACAATAGATCAAAGGTCAAATTCCAAATGCGCGAGGTATTTGTGAAACTAAAACCCTGAGGCTTTAGCCCCTAAAATAAAACAATCAAAGAACTAACTTAAAAGTTAAATACTTATACATGCTTTAGTTACGCCACACAGGTTTACCCCAATGATAAAAGTAAAGGAAAATATGTTTCAAACCTTTTAAAAAAATCGAAATGACAAAGCTATAAAACAAGTGACAGTCAAATGTTATACGACCACAAAATCACAATAGATTAAAGTTCAAATTCCAAACGCGCAAGTATTTGTAAAAGACCAAAAGCACAAGACTCCAATTGCCAAGTAACGGTATGGTTCACCACGTCGCTTTTGGTGTCCGTTTATACAACAGTGATGCGTCATGCGAGCACAATCTCACGGCTAACTCAGTGTCTGCCTTCCAAAAACACTTTGAATTTGAAACACTGACCGTATAAAGCATGGAGTCGTTTTATAGTATACCGACCGCATTGCATTGTGGTAGGAGATCTTTTACCACAATGCAGTGCGCTATTTCGTAAATTTGCTTCCCCTACTACACAAATTAGGGACTGCTGCCTTGCTCGGTCGCTCAGGCGACCTCGCTGCGGCAGCAACAAGAGAAGAAAATCGCCGTCAAAAGTCGCCCGTGTAGCCAGGGCTTTATTAAATAACCGGCAACAACCAAAAATTATGTGACAAAACGCCAAGAATTTTACGAACATGGAGAGTTGCCAGCTGATCTATGTAAAAACCTGTAATGTTCCTATATTTATTTTATTTAAAGCGCCTGGGAACGAGGCTGAAGAGTTGCACAAAATTGCTGCCGCGCAACTGTTATAATACGTACAGTCAAAGAGGAGATATGGACAGATATGGACAAAGTCGACCACAGAGGAAAAATATGTATAGAGATTAGAGAGACCAGTTTTTTCCCTGGTTGTTCCACTCAGTGGTTGTTCCTTTGAATTCGCTGTCCCTCTGCTTACGTGACTCCACGCAGTCCACGAAAGTCCCACGCATTGCTCCATTTCATGTGGAAACCAGTGAGCTTCACATATGGCAACAAATGAACAACCCTCCACATATATCTGGAGTAAGAACTTTGGGGTGGAAAAACATGCTTGACCCCTCATAAAAAGACCCCAATTACTCGTGAGAGCCCCTGCCATATGAATGGTGTTATAGTGTTTTTCCTGCGGTTACAGGACAGCCGTATTAGTTCGTCTACAATTATAGACCAAAGTTGGTTGGCACGTTTAATAATGGAGTTAGAAATAGGACTAAGATGCTCTGTTTAATTTTAGCTACTATAAACGTCAATGTGAATATTACCTCGTTAGTAGGCTTTACTAATCCAACAAAATGCGTTTTATTATTGTCTTGTGTCGTCGTCTTGTAGACATCTTAGTTGATGTTGGCATTTCATTATTATTACTATGTTACTGGAACCGTATCATGCAGGATATTCAATATACTTCCAATGTATGTTCTCTCATGATAAAAGTATTCAGTATTTAGTGGCCTAAACTGAACAATACCTAACAAACCTTCGCATGCCTCTCAGTATCTACGGTCTACCTATCTAAAATACTGCTTTACAAGTCAGAGACTAGAGGGCTATTTATCTGATCTCGGGTATCGGGGACATCTTACCCCCAGAGACAACTTTACCAAGCTAGCCCTTTATATCATAAAATTGCAAACAAATAGCAAGCAATAGTGTCTTCTTAAACAATATTCTATTCGCTATTGCGCATGCCCCGGTAGGAAAAGTTAACCCTGAAGGCCGAGACAGTGTTAGGCTACATGGTTCTACAAAGTTTTTCCTACCACTAGGGTTACTCTTTTTCGTAAACAGCGTGTCACATGCCCACGTTGACCCAACCAGCCGAGACGAGTTTAAAACTTCCTAATATAAACCCTTGCCGGCCTTGCGTTTCAGCTGCTACAACTGATTATGAACACGAATATTATTTACCTCTGTCATGGTCAGAGGTGGATCCAGCAGTAGTGCACAAATTTGCATTACAAAACCAAGTGGTCATTTTTAGCAGTTTTCTTGTGTCATGCAAATTAGTGCACTAGTGCTTGATCCACCACTGGTCATGGTTACTCTGTGGGTAGGGTGTCTCTGGTTAACCGAGATCATATAAACAGCGCCTATATAAAGCCCTGATTCCACTACTCATGCCCTAGTTCGGGGCCTATACATAATTCATATTAGAGCCTGGAAACTCGTCTGATGTGAATTCGGTCACAGATAAGTTTCTCGTCCTAAATTTCCAGTCTAAAGTCTAAACACACGGGTTGAAGGATCACTGATTCGCACGTATTAAGTAGACTAAAAACCACCAAGATTGGAAAATGTGGAATTTCACAAAATGAAAGTACTTATCGGGATGTCAATATTTAATAGTAGTGCATATGAAAGCAGCAATCCTGACTACAAGGAGCTCTCTGCCAGCAGGCTGAAAACTGTAAGAGGTAAACATTGCGAAGATATGACCCTTCTTCAATACACCCCTACTGTTTTGCTCAATGTTCACTTTAAACGAGCAAAAAAGAGCCCCTGCAGGAATTGCGCGGTCTTTCATCCAATTATATTCTTTAATTAAGTCAATTAATTAATTAAATCAATTAATATCATACATCTTAAATTTTTCATTATATCCACAAGGTGTATTAAATAAGAATACCTTTAGAAGTTAACATATTGCTATATAATTTCAATGCCCGATTAATACGGGCTGAGCCCACGGGGGCGCAAACATACACATTCGAATCAAATCTCATGTAGTATAGCAAATTATTTTAATATGTTTACCTTCATTGAACATTTAAAAAATGAATTAATACTGCTCATTAATTCGCCTTTCTCACGATGACGAATATGCCGCCATTTTTGGGGTACTTTTTTTCAAAACCGTGAGACCTCGTAAAGGCCACAGTCTTTAATTTTAGGCTAAATTTATTCTTCAAATGGTCTGTTGATAACATAACATAACATAATTTTTAAACCCATTTCAGAAAATTGAAAGTACCCCAACTGAATGTCATCATGAAAAAGGCTAATTTCACACGCTATAGGCTATTGATAGCCTACACTTCCCTTGTATATTATCTATATATTTATTTAAAGCACGTTTACAGGAACTATTTACATACCCCATGAAAGAACGAATAGTAAATGAAAAAAGGTTGAATATACACATTATGAGAACGCTTATGAGCGACTATAGCAGACTGCAAGCAACTGTTGACATCCATCTGCTGAAAATATCGTCTCAAATGTTATAAAAGGAGTAGCAATGGGCCCAATGGTGGGACGAATAAGGCAATATGTTCCAAAATCAACATTAATGAAAATATGTGCATAGGTACTTCACTGATCTCACTTTCTGATTATCGCAACATAAGGTCTATTGGCGGTCTTTTGGGTGGTCCACTACAGAAATGATTGCGATTTGGAAAACTGAAGATATTTACATAGCAGAGGCAAGGGGGGGGGAGCAAATATGCAATTCATTTTAAAATTGCACTCCGATATCTTAAGTAAAAGTACCGAAATTACCACGATACACGACGATACGAAGTTCATAAAACGATGTTTTGCAAACATTTTGCGCCGCTGCAGTGCCCTTTCACCAAAATCTACCCCCACCCCCTGCCGTCGCATCGTTCCGGGGTCCATGTCCTCATGCGACAAGCTAAAAAGAATACTTTGCGAAGTCTCTAACGGAAATGTTTCAATTTAAAAATAACCATAGATACGAATTGCGAAGTTACAATACAAACTATTGAATGAAAACTATTACCTTGCTCCTAGCCTGTATTACCCAAATGATGCTTTAAATTTAAATTTAGAAATACCCTTGACCGCGCTTCAGTTTCTATATTACGACCTGTGTTCTTGAAGGCAAAGCCAGGTTAGCACTAACCATGGGTTTAGTTTTAATCAAGTGTTTTAGTTTATGAATTATGTGCTTCTGAGCCACTGCTTGTTTTAAACTTTAGAAAATATGACTTCTATCCAGAACCGGCTTTTGAACAACTGGCCCCTGGTGATGTAAATGTGCGTAATATTTGTAAGACGAAACTCGCCTTGTGTTTCCTAGTGTAACTAAAAATAATCGCGGCGGTCTATAGTGACAGTAATATAACATCTCTAGTATTTGCACCTACCAATTTTTCCTAAGTCGTCTAACTTCAAATGACTATATATCGATTATTTCTGATTTTTTCTCAACATAATTTGAAAAAAAAATAGTGCACGTAATTTCTTGTGTCAAAATTCAAATTGTATAATACTGACATTATTAGCTAAGTACGAAGTTATATGTGTAATGCCAGTTGTTGGCGTGACCTCAAAACAAATCCAAGTCCATTTTAACAATAATAACGGACCGCGTGAACTCGCGTATACACGCGCGAGCGCCACGAGAAGGAAAACATTTCTGGGCTTCTATGGTTACACAATAATATACACGTAACATACTAATTACGTGAATCACATTTTCCTGACGAAAGCCATTGGGTCGAAACGTCGAGAAGTGTTTTTTAAAGGCAGTTGCCATCCTACATTTGACGGACTGGAGCTGATCATCACGAGTAAATCGAGTTTAACGTGTTTAATGATACTTTTTAAATCTGGTGGAATTCATGGAAAATTAAATCTGATGTGATTCATGTAAAATCAATTAAAATGATTCGGGTGCAAAAAACTTCAATTTCTGATGGAGTGAATCCGTAGCTGCCCGCCAACAGAGCTTTGGTTTCTGGGGCTCCAGGTTCATATCCTGGAGGAGGTTGATATGTATCACCAAGGTTGCTTTTTGAACCTTGGGTTGTGTTGGCGTTAGGGCAGATAGCCAGATCATGACCAAAACCATTACCAGTACGACCAAAGACTGGTCCAAACTTATATTCACAGTAGATTGCTTCGTCATTTCGACCATCTTTCATCTGGCACTTGAAGGGGCTCATATTCGCCTTATTTTTTAAGGAAAACAGAAATGACGACTCGGAACGTTTATACTCATACTCTCTAGGATCTAAAAAAACAGATATTCACATTTTAGAAAAAAAATATATTAATAGCATGACCAAGCTAACAAAAACCGGCTTGAGCCAGTTTTCCACTAGGCGAAATTTTTCGATCGAACGAAAATTTTTGCCCCATTTTCTTTTCAGTAACAGGTGAAGGGAATCCGTTGCGGTCGAATTCCCACAATTGAAAAGAATATCACACGAAAAATTTCGTTCGGTCGAAAATGCAGTGGAAAACCGCCATTAAGTGTATAAATGCATTTTCGCCTTCGACACGCCAGGCCCAAATAAATATAATACATTCATCCGCCGACAACTCTCCAAGTTTCTCTCAACCAAATTCTTCTTGCCAATCCATTGACTCACGTTACGCTCTTGAACATACACATTGCAGAATCATGGTAAGAATGCATGAAGATAGTGCAAATTATACCTGATGGTGCTTTCCAACTTTGATCAGTAAAACCACCAAAGATGTTTGTCCCGCATTTCACCAAGGTCACTGTGGGTCCAACATCGTCACACTTTGTATGAAAATCTCTTCCTCCCCAACCGTCACGTGAAGCTCTATAACAAAGGTGCCATCCAAACTTCTTGTCTCTTATCCAATGAACAAGGTGCTTCGCTTGTTCAATTTTACCCTCCAAGATGGTTGATCTTTCACATACGATTTCAACAGGTTCAACTGAAATCATACAGATATAGTTTGACCCAAGGTGGTCCACTATATTGAAAATTACTACTTATCTTGTTTAAAAAGTTTAAAGAGACACAATCTTAAAGAGACAGAATCTTTCACAGTCTCCCTAATCGATCCAGACATTTTTCTCTAAGAACGCGAGAGTTAAACGAAAGGTTTTGTTAATTAGGTTTATACCCTGAGTAAACAAAGGTGATCGATTGGCTTTTTCTATTCTTTCATTGTTCTACTGAATTGAACTATATAGTTCATGAATACATTCAAAATCTTTATTAGGGCCATTTATACCAGCGAAAATAAACCGCGGTCTAAATAAGTCTCGAACAGTGCGTTTATACGGGATATATTATAATATTAAAAAAAATTGATATAAAATTATATTATACGTAATTGGTCGCATACACTCGTATAAACAACTCATATTCGCAATTGCAAGTCCCTGCTGCCGAGGCAGTTTTTGCATTGCAAAGTTGGAAGGAACGGCAGGAAGGTTGATGCTGGACACCGATGTTCAATGTAAGATTTGGTCGCGAAGCCGTTTTTATACGAGAACTTCGCGACTTTAATTAGGCGCGGCATATTTTGGACGAGCTCTGAAGCCTCGGTTAATTTGGGCTGTGGCTTGTTTTAGCCGCGAACAAAGGAGCGGTTCTACGACTGTTCGCGACTTATTTAGCCTTTTTAAGGCCGCGGCTTATTTTCGCTCGTATAAAAGGCTCTATTGTTGCTTTCATAACCCTCACTTCTGTGCAATTTTCCATCATTGGGTGTGTCTTGTGTTCGAAACTATAGTGACTGCACATTGATTCATATATACAACTCCTTTTTACTCAGATTAACTTTCCTAGCAATATATAGTTTAAAACGAAACTCTCCAACAGTGCATGTAATCATAATAATATAGTATTTGCAATTATAATATTTATTACGACTCTAATTAATATATACACAATACACCTACCAATTTTTCCTAAGTGATTCAACTTCAAATTCTCCATGATGTCTTTGGTCGGTTTTGGATGATATTCAAAGAGGCCATCGTGGACTGGCTCCATAAATTCTGGTCGTTCATTCTCAATGCTTCCAGCTTTTTCCTCAATCTCGTGTTTGAGAGAAAGGAGTACCTCGTCGCTTCCACTGGAAAGAATATTGCTGGTAAAATCCAACGAACTTTTTGCTTTTTCGAAATAAGCTTTCACGTTAGTTTGTTGCTTTAACAGAGGCTTGCTGACTTCCCTGTACTTCATGTCAACTTGGTCAAGCAAGGCTGTCGTTTCTTTCTCGAGTTTCTTGGTAAACGCATTTAGAATATTCTGTTGCTGCTGCTTGATGGCGTCTCTTGCTTTTGTAGCATTTTTCTTCAGGGTCTCCATTGCCTCCTCAATCTTACGATTACTCTCGGCTGCATCATTTTTTTGCTTCTCAAATATACCGGAAGATGCTTTCAAAGCTTCTTTGTGCTGTACAACAACGTCTGTCAAAGGGAACCACGTATGTTCAGGTCGAGTGTGATTAAGATCCATGCAGTATCGACAAACAAGGACTTCGCATGTTTCACAGTAAAACTTCAGAACTTTGTCGTGTTTCTCACAACGAGGTTTGGCTTTCGCCTTCGCTCGGTTTTCTGGCTTAGATAGTTCTTCCAACGTCAAAAGGACATGATCCTCAAAGTCAGGCCAGTTGTTGTGGACATCCAGACATTTATGACACAGATATTTCTCACATGATATGCATCTGCTCGCCGCAGGAGCGTTCGCTTTACACGACTGGCATTCTACATGATGGGCTTGTTGCTGTATGCTGAGCAATTCCAACAGGTTGTTAATAAAGTGGTTTGCTGGCATTTTCTCACCAATATTTTCCCCTTCTTTGACTGAAAACTCCGTGCGGCATAATGGACATTCAAAGATTTCTGGTACTGAAGCTTTAGCTTTAACTGCCTTCTCGCGGTGAATTGCGACATAATTCTCCAAGCAGTGTTTACAAAATGAATGATAGCATGACAATGTCCGTGGTTGAGTCAATGTCTCCATACAAACAGAACACTCTAAAAGTGTTTCCATCTGCTTCACAGGAGCAGGACATGATGCAGTAGCCATACTGCTTTAGACTTTCGATGAACGCTTTCGATGAACGCTTTCGATGAACCGTGTTTATCACGAGGTTATCTGCTCACGAGAAAAAAATTATGAGCGGTCTGCGATGGTCAGGAAATCTTGAAAATGGTGCAGACCCTATGTACATGAATGTACATGACGCCATGGAGGCATTACTGGCATAGACTTCTTAGTTAAATAAAACTTGGTCGCAGTTTGCCAGTGACTTATCCGAAGGTCGAGGTAAGTTAGATGTGCTTTTATCTCGAGATCAGAAATACATAAATTACGTGTTCTTGGACGGTGGCAAAGAATCAAGTACTCTTTTGAAGCCTGATTTCACGGACGAAATTTTTCAGCGAAATATTTCGCCTGCCTCTTTTGAATTGTGAGCAATCAAGTAGAAATAATGTATTCGAAGAGGAAATTGGCGAAATATTTCGCATTTCGTCGAGAAAAGCGCTATAGGCAGCCCCTTCAATGCGGTTAGGTCAATTATATGAACTACAATGATTCAAAAATGTGGAACATAATCAAGGATTCCCCTGAACTTATAAGCTTCTGTTACATACCTGTCAATTCCCGCATAGTGTGCTTGACATTATATGAGAGCATTGGTTTTGGTGAGCAAAAGTATAGAGGATCAAAGCTACAGCAAGATTCCCAAAACAATAACTGAACTGTACAAAAGAGCTATAAGAATTTTGCTATTCAAACACAATGCAAAATACAGGAATAAACCAGTCCCAAAGGATTACCTGACTGCAAAACGTCCAGAGCTGCTTCAAAATGACTTGGGCAAACTGAAAGAAATTGCAAAGCAAGGAATGGAAATTGGAAAGCAACCAGCTAGTTTTTTGAGTTTGATAGTAGTGCTGAATTTATGGATGACTTAGCAGATTCAATTGTATTTAATCAGCTAGAAGATGAAAACAGACCTTTTCTTTCCTTCATCTTACAATTCAAGAGTTTCTGGCTGCATTACATGTGTTTGATGATATGAAAAAAGTTGAATCATTTTTAGAAAAGCACATCAATAATCCCAGGTGGCATTTGGTGATCCAGTTTGTGGCTGGGTTACTTGCATGGAGACAGAATGAGAGAGTTAAGGTATATGCCTCTCACTTCCCTTCAAATTTATATGAAGTAATAGTAATAGTTTAATACTGTATTCATTATATATACAGTCACAACTTGTCATATGACATAACAGATAGCTATAGATAATGTTATATGTATGTGAAGGAATCTTAATTTTCATATCCATTCATTGATGCATGAAATGCAGATAGTGCTATTACGATTAAACATTTAAGTGATGCTCTGAAGAGTGAAAATGTAAACTTACTGAACTAAATGTAAATGCCAATGTTTTAGCAACTGAAGGTGCTAAATATTTAACTGGTGCTTTGATGAGTGAAAACTGTGAACTTACTGAGCTAGATGTAAGTTGCAATGGTTTAACACCTGAAGACGTTCAAAATTTAAATGATGCTATAAGAGTGACAACTGCAAACTGATTCGCTAATGGCTGCAATCAGTTTAAACCGCATCAAATGTTCTTGTTAAGCTGCATATTGCGGGCAAATCATATTAGGCATGACACATTGGGTATTTTCCTTTCGTATAGTTTTTTATTGTCTTCTCTTTCATATCTCGAAGGCAAAACATGCGACGACTCAACTCTTGCATGTCAGCGCACGTCATCCAGGTGTTAGTGTCAATGAATTAGACTGCTTTTTACAAGCAAATTTTCTTTGACAATTTTTTTGTTTATATATAAGTATAATATATAAGTATGAACCGGGCACCATTTTGAGCAGATGAACAGGGTTGGTACGCTTCCACGCATGTGCAAAGTCAAATCACATTTAAAAAAGGCCAAATGGTACTAAAAAAAGCCAAATTTCATTTTGGAAAAAAAAGCAAAAACAAGTACGATCGTACTATAGTGGACCAGGAACTGCGTGAACGAGTTTCTGAACTGCATTGTATTTACAACAATAGAGAGGACAATGTATTTCTAATCGTTTCCGTTAAATTATATATAGGCTGAATATTAATGATATGTATATATTATTTGCTGCAAATAATTATAGTTAAGAATTGCTTGTAACTTGCTTCAAAGGTCAAAAGTAAAAATTCTAACTCCGTCAATTGATGCAGAATATTGCTTAGAATAATTGTGCCAAGTTTCATTCCGATCAAACAAGTAATGATAGAGCCTTAGGGTTTTTTTAAAGAGCGTCGCCCCCTAACAACAACAACAACAACAACAACTACAACAAGATTAGCAGCGGTTAGGGACCAGTTCCTGGTCCAAAAAGCCGTGCTCGGTACCCGTGCCCGGCCTTTGTTTTGGCAGCCTGGGGCCGATTGTTCAAAAGCCGGTTAAGTTAACCCTGGGTTAAAGCAATTCTTAAAATGAATTTTTATAATCGCTTGTTTACAAAATTGAATATCTTTTTTCATAAATATTTTCTGGACCGATAGAAGTCGTATTTTCTAAGGTTTTCTAACGAACAGTGGTTCAGAAGCACATAAACTAAAACAGTGGATTTAAATTTAACCCAGGGCTAGCGCTAACCTAGCTTTGAAAAACTGGCCCTTGAAGATTAATAAAATTCGGCACGGGTACCCATTTTAGCCGTCCCAATTGTAATTGAGTGTAGTGTAAACGGGGCTTCTGAGGTACACGTAAATACGCTTTCTGTGTAGTTACGCATGTGACGTCAGGCTGCGTAGATACGCATGAAATGTAACAAATTACAGTCTATATACAATATAGAATATAGGTATACAATAGATCGGGACCCAGCATATATGTATTTCTATGATATTTATCGCATTCTGTTTATATGAGACCGAGACTTTTTTCTCATCCCAGTTTCAATCCCCGTTTAAACGAAATTTTCTTTTTTGCAAAATAAATGCTCCATCCCGCCCGACCGGAACAACAGTACGATACATGCTAACTGCAACATTCAGTTTTGGAAACAGCCGCAAGACCAAATATTTCAATATTAACGTCTCCCTAGTTTAAATATACAATAGCATGCATGTCCAGTGAGTTCATACAAAGAAATTTGTATCGAAATTTAAATAATAAAAGGTGAAAATGACGTGTCCACCACAATTATCACGATATGAACTAGGTTAAAAATGTGATATTCGACGATAACAATACATCTCGGCAAAGTTCATTTCATTAAGTCACCGCCACGAGAATTTTGATCGATCGTAAGAATCACGTTGTGCGCGCCTGGCCTCACATGCCTGCCGATTCCATGCCTTTTTTCACGAACCCTGCATGGAGAGACAAATTACCCGTCTAACCCTCCTGGTATAGAGACTTAAAATTTTGTTCATATAGTGCAGAGAGAAGACGAGGCAATAAAACACGTCCCACAATATGTGAAATGGTGAGTTATATCTCCAATGTAATTTGCCACTAACTGTGCGTATACAGTAAAGAACTTGTTACGCGGTGCATTTTTTCTTCCAACTTGCAATGCTATTTTACTTTTGAGAGCTGTAAATTTGGCAACTACGAAACGTTTATGTTTACACTCTATCCATAGACGTTTTTTACACTAAAATTTGAAGACTCTTCACGAATTTACATCTCCTAAAAGTATAATTCCATTGAAAGTTGCCAGAACTAAAATTGCATCGTGTAACACGGCCTTAACTTACGTACTTATACAGATTTCAACATAATAATTCATACGCTTTTTCACATGAATACAATTAGAAGCTAATAAAGGGAATAAGCTCAAACACCATGCAATATTTGCCACCCAAGGAAATTAGCAATAAAAATTTCCCCACTCAAATTTTTTTGGGGATTTTTTCATAATTCCCGGTTGGTAAAGCCGTCACTTGTCCTAACAAAAAGCATTGTACTTTTTCGCGCAAAATACCAAATTATACAAAATTTGTCAACTTCCACATTTTCCAATATTTCGCAAACAAATATTTCAATTTTACTAACTTTTGGATGCTTTTTTCAGCTGTACCGTTAAATTTTCCTAGTTTTAGATATTGTTTTAAGAGTGAGAAGGGGGGCATTATTGCCAACTTCCTTAATTGCATGGACAAAATCATACTGATTTTAATATTTATCATTTGATGGAGAAATTTGCTTTTCAGAGAGTTCCTATTAAGTCATTTCATTTGGTGTTCTTATATAACATAAGTTCAAATATCGTCCTTTCGTCATTCTAATATTTTACAAAAGAAATTTTCCTATGATAATCCCAAGTATGAGTGCAAGGATTAGGTAGACAACAGGCGGGAACTGGTTCTCAGAGTCAGCGGGTTGTAACAACTGAAGTACTTCTGCTGGAGGAGTTGTTGTTATGGGTTTTGAACGAATCCCTTCATCCTGAAAAACAATCTAAAATCACCCGCCTATATTTCGAAAGACTATCTAGTCTACGCGCTATTTAAAGCTTAATATATTATAGCGATAATGTTTACACCAAAGTTGTGCTTTATTACACAAGAACGGTGTTTATTTACCCACTTTTGGCGTAAATTTACGCAAAAGAAGATTAACTTTAGCTATACACTCAACCGGTGTTAAGAAAACACAATATTGGTGTAATAATACACCTCGACGGGTAAATTTGTATACACTTTGTGGGTGTAATATACTGATTTACACCAAAATTGTGTGTATATACAATTATTCGGTGTTTGTTGGACACTTCGAAATTTAGAGTGTAGATCCGTCTGTTGGCCCTAATTTGTAGTATATATATATATTTTAAATGAATATAAAATTAAAGGTATATTCCGCTGTCGTGAAACACCAACCATGTACGAGGAAAAATCCTGGGTACGTTTGAGGTTGGTGAATGAAACAAAACATCTTGCGAAACAGAAAAAAATCACAAGTGAGAGGTCCTAAAAATTAAGCACCCCTTGCCCTCAAATTTGCAATTTATATATCCTATAAACAAGAACCTATTTAGCCTAGAAAATTTGTTTTACACAGAAATAAAAACCTATTTAAGAACCTAGATATTTAACTACCATTTACACAAGAACCTCTTGGGGCTAACTGTAGAAGAGCAGTTTATCTCATAGCTGGATCTTTTTTTCTTTTACACAGAAATAAGAACCTATTTAGGAACCTAGATAGTGAATCACTATTTACAGAAGAACCTCTTGGGGCCAATTCTGGAAAATGTAGTATCATACTTGTGTGCTTTTATTCTACACCACACACATCTATAAATTTATATTTCCCGGTACACTAACTGATTACTAGTTACATCACCCCAGCTCTTCCAGAAAATAATCAACATTTATCATAAAACACCTTGCTTGTGAAATGAGGGGCATGTGAAGCTAACCTACGAGCTTTGCTAATCATTTTTTTAAAGATAATTTACCCATACACTGTGACCAGATCTGCAGCGGTAATTATTTACTAGAACAGGTCAGATGCACATGAAACGGCCCCCACCTGATTTCAATATTTAGAACATCGAGACCACAACGGGGCGTCTAAGTAGATTTGAGGAGATCTGGTTTTATGAACTATAACAAATCATGCCTCCTATATTTGAATTCTTACAGGTAGGCAAAAAATATTTGAAGTTAAACCTTTCGCGGTCTAATTTCACCGGTCTCTTTTGCAACTACATACTAGCAAGTTGTGCACGTTGTGTTGGACAAAATTTTTGTCCAAAATTTGTCCAAAAACTTTACCAGCAGATAATTTCATAAAATATAGAAAAAAATAAGCTCCGAAAAACAACATCTTGTAAACTCAAGATATTAGTTAGTTTTTTAATGTTTTTTTCGAAACCAAGTGGCCTCATTTGATGAATTGAAAGTCTTAATAAAGCTGATCAGTTTGAGGCTACTTCTCTTGTGCACAAAACCTTTTGAAAAAGGTTTGCAGTTATCTTGAAGCATTTCAGGTGGTGCGGCTACCTAGGGTCCTAACATCTGATTCTCGTGTAATAAATTGGCAAATTGTCGGATAGTTTTCGACCGGAATTTATCTTTAAAATAAGAAGTATGTTTTGTACCTTTGAAACTTTATTTTCTCCTCTTAACCTCAAATTTCCGGATTCTGTGTTTTTATCGTTCGTCTGAAAAGAAATTCAATATACGAGTATGATTAAAATGATCCAACTACCCATGTTACACGCTGCAAATTCAACGTTTAGAAGATGTAAATTAGTGAAGAATCTACAAAATGTGAGTGTAAGAAACGTCCATGGAGTCTATATAAACGTCCATAAACACAAAAATTTCGAAAATTTACATCTCTCAAAAAGTAGAATTGCATTGCAAGTTGCAAGAAAATTGCACCGTGTGACAAACAGGGGCTTGAAATCATTTGGAGTTACGCGTGGTTTAACATTATTGTGTTAAACTTGATATTGAAGTTGAAATAAAATATTAAAGTTGAATAAATGTTAGTAAGAATCTGCCTAATATGACGGAGTTTTGCGATTGACCGTTTGTAAGAATAGTGAAAAGTGTTTATGTCATTATGATTTGGTAATTTAAAATCAATTTTCATACTTAATTGTGTTTCATTGTTTTCCTCAACCAATAGCAAAGCTCGTTCTATGGGTAGGTACCGACCGCATGAATATGCGAGCACATGAAAGAAGTACTTACATTTGATGATGCTGGTTTTTCTATATCTGGCTGTCTCGTTATATTACTCTGTGGTTCATGTGATTCTGCTGGGGCGGGTTCGTTACTTGTAGGTATCTCTTTTTTCTCAATCGGTTTTTTAACTGATGGAATCTACATATCGATTCAAAAACGTGTTCATATACATAACATCGACATTCACCTGGCCTTCGGCGAATAATTATTAAATATTCTATTTCCACGATGTGAAGCTTGGTGGTAAAGACATTTAGGACATCTCATTTAGGAAAACTCGCGTGAGTCAGTGTTATTCAATAATAGAGTAATACACATTCACGTTTATTCGACGCTGGCGATAACAATTAAGATTTTGTGTTTAAGGTATCGGGGACATCTTTCATCAACTTCTCGTAACAAGAACACGGGGAAATAACCAACCTCGCAAGCCAGGCTTTTCTAGGAAATAGCTTGACCTCTCCTAGATTAGTTCTAAAAATGTATCTAAGCCTTTCGTTCGAGAAATCTGGCACAAACTAATGCACTATTGTATGCCATTACTTCATGTTACTAGAAATATTACCTCTGCGCTCTTTTCATCCACCAAATCAAAAACACACTTTAGTTTCGAGTCCATTATTTGATCTGGACTTGCCTCTTTCCACTAAATAAAGGATAAAAACAAGTCATTAAAACAATTTTGTATTTACTATCAACGACCTTTAATTAAATGGATTCGACCCACGACCATTTTTATACTTTCACTGCACTTCACTCGAGTTGGTAAACAAAGTCAGATACGAGAGACAAAGAAGAGCTGGATTAGAAATATTAGCGACTGCTTTTTTGACATATCCGCGTTGCCCAATGACTTGCTTAGCTGCATCCAGAGTTTGTGAGTTCTAGCACTGGTATCCGGGCTTTTTTAGCACCTAGGTCACTTGAACACAGGCTGCCTAGTAGAATTGGTCACGGGTTCGAAGAACGGGTACAACCTGGCACTACGTTCAACATGTTTTAAACATCAGTACAAGCCTGAACACAGACTTACACGACTGAAAAATTGAATATCTTCATTAAACTAATCTTTATTAAATCTTCAACGGCTGCGTAATATTGATTGATACGAAATCCGCAAGCTCTTCGCAACGAATTACGAAACCTTGAATTACTTCTTGACTAACTTTGTGTTATTGCAGAAATATTGTATTTGACATTTGCCTGGACCAATTCAGTTGTTGTTTATTATGCAATGGATCAATAACCATCTAAAACCCGTCTAAGATGTTCTTATCGAGTCAATATCAACGGGTTCCGGTAGCCCCGTAACACTACACTCATTTATTGGGATGGCCGTGCCACCGCAATAAAGTGTGTAGGGTAGTGAGATTGGGGCTGGTATGTGTACACGTATTACTCAATGTGTATGTGGGTTCAGTGAGTTCAGGCATGCGCACGTTGTAAAACATATGACGCAAGAGCTAAGAAACCACTCTCTTACTATGTTCTCCAGGTTTTCTGTATTACCAACAGCAATCATCGACTGCACCATGAACTTGTGTTTTGACTTTTCCTTAGCATCAAAATCATGAGGTTGTAACATCACTGGAAGAAAGGTAGAGAAAGTCTATTCATATGTCAAACTTCAGACAACAAACTTTTGCTCAGCAAGGCAGTCTCACAGGGGGGGGGAGTGGCGTGCGAACCAGAAGTAGTGAATAATTTCTTCCTTCTATTTTTGAACGAAGATGTTAATTATAAAATAACATGAAAAACATACCAGCTACAGAGACAGTCATCTCTGGGTCAACAATTCCACTGTTAGGTCGCACACAGTACTTCTTTGGTGCTGTAGTTTTTACTTTAAAACATACTTTCTTGTCTGTCGGATTGTGAAGTTTTATGGTTGATGAAACCACTTCAGTAAATGGACCTAATAAAGTACAGAGCAAACAATAACACACACATATGTAACAGGCTACAACCTGCATAAATATATCAAATACACTTCACTTTAGAAACCAAATTTATACAACTTCATGTCGACTGATAAAACTGACAGTTGAAATGAGGTGTGTATATCCATATATTCATCTTAGGTCTAATTTAAAAGCAATTATTTTCATGGTATGTGACTATGAATACATAAATCACAGCATCTAGTTTTGGCCCAGAGCATGTGTGGTAGGTTTTTATAATCCAATCGTTTGTTCAATAATAATTTTTCTTGACAAATAAGTCCACTTCCTGCAAATGTATGAACTTTGGTTTGCCTTTAAACCAGTATCAGGGCAGTGGCCACTACAGCCTGACAATTTGGTGATGCCATGCAAATTTCAAGTCATTAGAATTATTAAATTCTTTAGAAATTCATTGTTTTCACAGTCAATGAACACCAAAATATTAGCACAGCGGGACAAATCTTCAGGCTGGCTACACCACTGCTTCAAACCTGGAATTCCCTTTTCCAAAATTAGAAACTTTTCATTTCTAGGAACTACTGCAATTATCCATCGTAATTATCGCTACTCTGGTTTTAATAAATGAAAGTAATCACCACACAAAGATTAACTTTGTGGTGATTACTTTCATTTATTAAAACTAGAGTAGCAATAATTACAATGGATTATATACCTGGTTGCCATGAACTCATTAACTTCAATTTACTGCAATTATACTTCATGGAAAATGAAACAGTTATTTCCCTTTTTACTTTCAGTAACAAAATAAATTGGAATTGCAAAAACAACTTTTGTTAATCTCATAAAACTGTTTTTCTGTTTGCCGTTCTCATAAAACTGTTTTTCTGTTTGTCATTCTCAAAAGACTGATTTGATCAGGGAACATATTAGCTGGAAAGTATTGCCAATTAGTGGATGTATAAAGTTACTTCTTTTAAAGACTCATCAGTTTGCATTGTGCCCTGATGGAGCTACTGTACTATATTTAGTGTTGTAATTTGTTATTAGAAACCTAGGAATAGTACCAATAGTTAATACAACACATGTTAATACAGACTTAAGTTCTTAATTCTTGATACCAGAATATTAATTTTGAAATGCTTATCCAAAATGTAGCAGCTGGGATTTAATATGCTTTTATCATATTAAAATTTCTTTTTAAAAAGCAAGTCAAATTTTTGTCTAACAATCAGACAGAAGTCTAACAATCAGACATTTTGAATACATTATGTGCAAAATGAAACAAAATTTGCTATTGCATGCCCAGCTTACATGTTCATCAACAAAAGAGATTATATATTATACAAATATTAGTCTGATACACTAAATAAAACATAGCTGACTGAATGTTAGGAAGTATGAATAGCCAGTCAATTTCTTTTGATTGAAAAATAATTTCTTTTTCATTTTGTATTTCATATTATATCATTAACAATCTTTAATTTGGCCCATGTGCCAATTTCAATGATTTTATCAGACATGTGGGGATCAAATCTGCTTAGATACTGGACAATTGTATGTGATCTACGGGTAGAGCAGAACTAATCTACCAGTAATAGGACAAAACAAGACCTAGCGTTTTAAATGATTTTAATCATAATGGTTGGCTGCCCTTTCCACATTGGCACCTTTCCTCTTTTTATATACAAAGTCTCTATCTGGTATTAAATAAATGGATTTGTCACCGCCTTCAAACTAATTTTTCGCCCATGTCATTCACGTCTAGTCCTGTTTGTGCAGTCTAGTACTTCAACTTTACATGTGTCTTATGATATGATGTTAGCCAAAATTTTGTAAACAGTTTACTATTGATGCAAAAGAACAACTAGCACAGTAAAAGGACACACTCGTGTGTTCGTATGTTGCCCTAAATTCAAGCACTGAATCCCAAATACTATAAAATATTAAAACCTATTTATAATCCTTCGAGGCTTCGATGGATGGAAGAATTAGTGGAGACAAACAAAGAAGTGAAACGACAAAATTCAAATTTCTATTAAAGTTCCACATACCTTTAAAATGCAACTCATGAGCTGGATCAATCTGTAGTACTTGCTCTAGTTTCGACATTATATTTTAATTGAATCTCTCTGCGATTTCTATTTACTCCGAGACAATGGCCTAAATGTCTCTCAAAATGGCGGATACAATCATTACACGTCGATACACCGAAGATATCCCGACGAAATTCGACACGTTCCGATTATTGTAAGTGTACAAAACACTGATCTATTTATTTCTGGAAGGAGTAGCTGATTTTGCAATCAACTGCAATCAGGTCACGGATTACCGGATTAATTAATCGGATATTGCGGCAGATCTTTTAGATCCATCTCTCCCTTCATACGACATACGAATGTGGATTGGTTTTAAGTGGTTAGGTTAAGGCAGTGAAGTGGCTGGGCAGTAGAGTAAGTGCATGTATTGATGCAAAACATCGGCGGTCAAATCTCGCTTTAATATGCTTGAATTCTTTCCATGTTCGAATAAAGCGCGCACAGATTTTAAACCAGGACCTTTTAACATATAGACTAGCAGCCCCCCCCCCAAACCCCCATGTTGGCCCTTCTAGTAAAGTATTTTGCGGTGCCCCCCATCCAGTAAATCCCCTGTTTAAAAAAAGCTTTGATAAAAAGTAAAGATTGCTTTAGTTCACGACACTGTAATAGCAATTTAAAATCAGACAACTGATTTCCAAATTACTCCTTTCGGCCTTTATCGACATTTATACTTATTTATGCCCCCCGCCCCACAGCGAGGATATCATCGTCAGAATAAACATCATGTAGTTCATCCATATGAATTCATCGTACTGTGTGAATATGCCCAAAAGGTGGCCGTCAATACTGGGGGACGGGGGGGATGTCACGTCCTGTGTCACCTCAGGGTAATATACAGTAAGCAAAAAGTGGTCAAAACGAGTTAAACGACTATAAAAAGGCCATTTCCGTAAAAAATCCCTTTCATTTCAAGTTGTCCCCCAATTTCCCTCATGGATTGACGGCCTTGTTTGAAAATGCAGTTACAGACCCTATTTACATGCACAACACCGGATTCACATGGTCAAGAGATCAGTTTAGGTTGTTTTATGGTATCTCTGTCCCCAGAACGTTTTCATTTGGTAGATCATGTAAAAGAAATCATGCTATCATAATTTTGGGGATAAAACTTGCTTTGAGATGACTAATTTCGATGTCATCACAATTAAGGCGAATCCGGTATAGTGTAACGGGCTTGAAGAATCAATTTTATGCTGTTTTATGATTGCGTGAAGCTCTTCCTTATTGATCTTATTTCAATTATTTTTCTTCATTAAGGCAGACTATCAGATAATTGGCTTTCAGTCAGACAATGACAACCACAGCCTGTTGCACACACGTCCTTTGTTTCAAACCATTTCATAATATGCAGTGTATGCCCACCGTGACCACACGATAAACAAAAGTTAAATGCACCTAAAACGTAGAATTTTATATTTGAAACTCGTTCGAACAAGCCTAGCCATAGGCGTCCATAGGCGTGTCGTGCGAGAGAGGCACGGGGGGGGGGGGTGAAATACTCCAGAAATATTAGAAAAGGTTTGGCAAATTTTCAATAGCAAATTTTCAATTTGCAAGTCTGGTCTATCGTTTTCAGGGCATCCGATAATGTCTAAACTCATTTAAACATTTAAAAACATTGCTATATGTCTCATGTGAAACTTCAATGTTTGCAACGAACATTTGCTGATTGCATTTAGCTCAGGCAAAGCAGCCCTTGATTGCTAACATGATTAGCATGACGTTATTTGTTTTGGCGGGAATCATAAACATTGTATGCAAGACTAATCCTATGTACCTTTCACAGCGATACGACAAATGACACAACGAATGCTGGCTTGTGTTTTACAGGTCTTACACCGCGACCCGGAATATTTACCATGACCAGACGGACACCTCAATTGTAACTCTATCAAGAAAAAGGAAAACTTATGAACATTGTGATATGCAGGGTGTATTCAAGAAGTGTACCACTTCAAAACCTAAATGTTTAATTTTACGTTACCTTTTTCACAAATCACGTGTCTTGGAGGATTTGAGACGAACTTTAGAACTTCGCTTCTTTTGTTACTTAATTCCCACTTGTACAGAAGATCTGCGTAGCATAACTTATAATGGTCGAATAATTGTCTTTTTTCTTTTTGAATAAATCTTGAAAAATAATTAATAGACGGTGGTTTGAAAACAAACAAAAACAGACACCAACAAACAGTGGCTACCTGCATGAGTACCTGCAATTATTTTCGTGACGCTTTCGCTTTTCTTCGACGGGAAAGTTGATGATCGTAAAATCAGGAGAAAGACTGTAGAAAGGCGAATGACTGCTCGGTAAAGCCTCCTCAAAACTTGGCGACTCCTCTTCAAGCAATCCAAAATTCTTTGCGTTTCGCTGCATTTTTGAAAAAGAAGAAAAATTTCTTTTACAAAAAGTTATTTTACACAATTTTACTAATTTCCCCAAACCATTTTGATTAATGTTTTATACGATGAGATTGATAATTGTACGTGAATCGTACGTGTACGTATAAACAACCGCGACTACAAATAAATAAATTTAAAAAAAATTAACGACATTTACGGTGGTTATAATACTTACTACGTTTTGAAGATTATCATCAGGACTTGTGGTAGATACATCAGCAATAAATCTTTCCGGTAGACTTTGATATTCAAGCAAACAAGAGATCATTGCCAACATCTGAATATCGTGCATTCCGTTATAGTAATCCAAACTATAGTTGAAAATATCAGATAAATTTTAACAGCCTGTAAAATCTCGTAGAAATAATATTCCTACTAAAAGTTTGAGGAAATAGCAATAAAAAAGTTTTTATGCATATGGTGTTGGGCATCTGTTTGGAAATCATTCTTAATTTCGAAATCTTATATCAGGTGGTATTCACAGTGAGCATGTACAGAGCAGACTTGAAAAATCAGGCAACCTCTTACGAAAAAGTTATGTAAAATAAGAAGAAGGAATAATTAAATTCCAAGTCGTGAAAGAACTTGGCTTTCGACCAGAAATTTTTAACACACGATTATTAGGTTACTTTTAAAGCCGGATATTGTTAGAAAGGTAAAAAAGTCATCTTTTATACGACCAAATACCAAATCGTTAAACTCAATATATAATCCATTATAGGGCATGTTACAGTGGCGATTTCGTTTCTTTTTAAACACGTTGTAGATCAGGGGCTGGTTATATCAAGCCCGTTTAGCTTAAACGGTGGTTAAGTTCAAAATAGAAAACAAGTCTATCGTTTCATTCAAGAAGCAAACATGCAAAATGTTTTTAACCTTAATACAAAAATACTGTTTACAACTACATATTCAGTGCATAAAATTCAAGTCGACTTATTCAAGAGAGATGTAAGAGTGTTATTTAATTTTGACTTATCCACCGTTTAAGAATAACGGGCTTGATACAACCGGGCCCAGCCATGCAGGGACTCATCTTACAGTGAATCAAGAAGTTTCCTTCCAAAAGGATGACTTGCCCATGGAGTTTCTGATTCAGATGGCGATGGTTTCAGTTTAGGATCCATTATCAAGCCTAGAATTGACCATGTCTGAACTAGATCGGCACGGCCACTCGCGACAGCGGCTTTTCTGTTTCGCTCGCATATTTCTTTAGGATCGGCACCTCTGAGGATACTGAAAAGCGAAAATACGAAACTGAATAAACAACAAAGGGCGCCTTTATATGGTAAAAACGGCCAGACTGGTCCTGTTGTTCAGGATGTCCCCCAAAAACTATTGAAATCACCATAACAATGTAATGGTAGAGTTTGAATGCCCGAGCACCCTGTTGGGACCCACAAGCATTTTTATGCATGATGACGGTAAAATATTTTTTACCCACAAATGATTTTTTATACCCACAAATAAAACAGACAACTGACGAAGGAGAACAGGCAAAAAACAGTGTAAAGATCTTAAGGCAAAAACAAGGAAACTAAATAATACAAAAACATTACGATTTACGAACATCAGTCATTATGAACTTTGTGAACTTACGTATAACTTTGACCAAGCGAACGATCAAATGTCATCAGCGACGACACGTCACGTAGAATAACGAGAGCTTTACGAGAATCTTTGTTTGACATTATACCCGTCTAGCAATAGAAACCTTAATCAATTACACCGTCGTTTTGAATAAAAACACGATCTTTAAACTAGCTGAAAAACACTGAATCTGAACTACAATTAAAATAGCGGCGAGTGCAACCTAGACTTCTTCTACTATAGTGTTTATAAATTCCAAAACTCAAGCACTCTCTTGTTAGTTAATTTCACATAACAACTGCCTAAAATAGACGACATTTTCAGCTTAGGACCTTTAATGATGGCCCTTAATTTGACCTTATGCAAAGATGGCGGCCGAGTTATCGTTTCACGTTCTAGTTAGAGTTCACTAGTGGCCAGTAGTGGGTAGTCATCCAGACAATACAATGTGGTTGGTTGGTTTCATGCATATAGAGAGATTAGAGACTTATTTCGACATCTTAAAATTTAGACAAGCCTGCTGGTTGTTTGTCTATAGGCACGTTTACACTTGCAATTTTTGCTGCGATTTTCTTCTGTTGATAAATGTGAACGAATGAATTAGTTACGGATGTTCAAATAGGAGCTAGTACACATCAGAGCATTCGTAACTTATTACTCGTTCACATCGCAGCAAAAATCGCAAGTGTAAACGGGCCTTATGAATTAATCTATACAATCAACGCGCTTGATTCCAGTTATTCCAGTTAAACATGTTTAATTAGACTTTTCCGCGCGGAGACTGTAACCTCTAGTTAAATATTAGATTTCCGTCATGCATTCAACTGGAATAAAGCTATATTTACCTTTAATGCTTCTGCATTAAAAAATGACAAATTTCTAGGGTTGTGTGCAAAAAAAGCCGACAAAGACCTTGATGAAAGAAGAAAAATGAATGTCTATAAGGATACTTATTGGAACCGCGCATAAAGGCTATCATTAAGTAACGTCACGACAAAACACGTCTACCCTCGTGCTTGTCAACAACCTTAAATATACTTTCCCCATTATAATAAAGGGCATCTTGACGACCATCAAAAAACCTTTTCGGATAAACGAGAGTTACCAGAAGCTTTAAAATC